TACGCAAATTGCACAAATTTTTACCAGGAAAACTGCTTCAGTCTCTGAATAAAACTCTATCAAGAGAGAGAGTCCTTGTCCATTTCCTATTCAGTATTACAGATACAACTAATGAGAATACAGTAATATTAGATAGTAACTGGATAGGTGTCTAGAAAAACTGCATACATTTCAGGAATATAATTATGGCTTATATATTATTAATATATATTATTAATATATAATTAATATAATAGTTTATACACATAATATAAAGCCATTAATTAATATCACTATTAATTATGGTAGCAATTACAGGAATAACGAAAAGAAAGTTAAGAAGAAGAATACAAACTCTTCGAAAAGACCGCGTGATATCAAAGTTGTTCCCAAATCATCTGATCCCGCGAACTTTAACGACGATAAAATGTTAGAAGTTCCTCTCGAAGCAGAAGAAAAATCTATTATTCAAAAAACTATCAATAATAATAACTCCATACAAGAAAAAAGTTTTGCTAATTCTAAAAATATTTTAAGAAACTCTCGCTCTTACGAAGAGATTAACGAGGAACCTTTTTCGTTTCATAAAAATATCAACGAAAATATTTTACGAGATGAATCTTTTTACGAAACCCAGCCAACATTTAATACAAGAGAAATTATAAACTCTCCTACTATAAATAATCAAAATCTATTGAAAGCTGGAAAGACATCGAACAATTTATTACAAGGCTCGGCAATGTCACAAAACGAAGGAATCAAAATTTCGTTAATTGGGAAGATTCAGATACACAGCGGTTTCAATCAAACGCCGATGCTGATAAGCTTTGATGCTATTCCCGACGGATTTTCGGCTACACAGGCCTCAGTTTCCACAGGATTGTCGAATACTATCAGGACGATTGAAACTACTGTCATTAATCTCCCTCTGAATGATTCAAACGTGGAATCTCAAACGTCTGATCTCTCGTCTATAAGCGAACGTGTAAATGACGAAGCGAGTAATTCACTAAATACGATAACGGACGAAATTCAGGAAGTTGGAAAGACGAATATGAACGAAGTTCCGATAAAGTCTCCCGAGAAGTTTTTTGATCTGATGGGAAGAAGTGAGGAAGAACGAAAGACGGTAAAAAAAAATCCCTCCCGCATCGAGAAGCGATTGGATAAGCATAACGCGAACTCGAGATCGCCCAAGCAGGTTTTTCTAACGGATTACTCGGTCGAATCGAACGGCAAAGTGGACAGAACAAACGGAAGGGTTATTTCCGAGCGAACTGGTGAGGCAACCGACAAACTGGATTCTCGTTCATCCGCGAATCCGGTGTATTTTCCGGATATTTTGGGATCTGTCCTGGTCAACAACGATAGTTTAAAAGATCAGGATAGTAAAGAACCTCGACGTCGAATCGACGTTTCTACGATCAAAACGAACCGATTCAACCAAATTGACCCGAATGTTACTCTTCATGTCGTACCGTTGGTGCACAGCAGTATCGAAAAGCCGAACGCCGATTTAGCAAATGACGGGAAAATTAGGACGGTGTGTCGTCCTTGGGAGGACTCGTGGAACGCTAGTTTCGGCGGTTGTTACAAGATGCCCGCAACCGTTCGGAAACTTGAAATTACAGAGACGACTTCGCGCGAGTTGCAAACTTCGAGCAATTATCGAGACGATGATCCCACTGTAACTTTTCCGCCCAAACTCTATGAAACGACTGTAAACGACCAGAATGCGGTAACCATGAAGTCCTCTCCGTCAACGCAATTGCAGAACGACGTTCTTGAAGCTACAATTGAATGCACAACGAATGAAATATGTTCTACCGTAAGACCATCTGAATCTAATAAATGCAATGATAAATCGATTAATGCAATTCGCGTGAGAAACATGATGGCCATCGTAAGATTCATGATGAAACTGCTGAGGATCATCGCGGAGGATGAAGAGTCATCTTGTCCTATACAGTAAAAAACATTTTGTATTTGTGTTAGAAACGGTCCACTCAAGTTCTTGTTAAACTTTTGTGTTGAATTTTTTAACATATTGAAAGTGAGTTAATTTAACATAATATGATTATATAATATTATTTAAATAGTTTGTGTTGAATTCAACATTTCTTAGTGTCAAAATAACAATTTATGAGTAGGAAAATAAATAACATAAGAATAATGTGTTTTAATAAATAAAATATGTGTTAATTTAACATATCATAAATGTTAATTTTACTGAAGAAATTATACTTCCATGGTTTATTTACAAACTGTGTCAGTATTATCTCTTTTATATTTATCTTCTTAAATAATATTAAAATTAAATACTAATCGGGCTCTCGAAATTAAAAAACAATAATATAATGTACGGACAATGAGAGCGTTACACAGCGCGGTAATTGGTGCACAATTTATACAATAATCTAATAATATTCACATAATATATGTATATATGGTATTAAAAATGTACGGTGACTGTCGATATCAGTTTATTTGGACATTTCTTACTACGCTCTAATAACTGATTTGTGATCTATGGAGAAGGAGGGTGAGTAAAATAAACATACTGTGAATTCATTACATTGCAAATAATAATTATGTCTATTGTACTCTTCAGTTAGTCACTTGACTAAGTAGCGAAGAGACAAAAAATTGGGCAATTCCCAACCAGACAGTAGGGAGACTCGGTCTCACATAGAACATAATTTCAACATCTTCCAACTGGTATCGACAGTCACTGTACATTTTTAATATATATATTATGTGAATATTATTAGACTATTGTATAAATTGCGCACCAATTACCGCGCTGTGTAACGCTCTCATTATCCGTACATTATATTGTTATTTTTTAAATAATATTTATGTTACCTTTCAACATATTCATCTTGTATTAAATTAACACAATAAACACATAAATTTGAGTGGACCATTTGAGAAATGTGTTAAATTTAACACTTTTCCAATGATGTAGAACTCAGATCGGCGAGACGGTGATTCACGTGAAGAATATTATTAATGTCCCAAGTCACGTAGAACGACAGAAAAGTGCTACTGATAGGACGGTAATAAAATCAGGAAGAACGAGACAGGATCTTCTGACCACTGAGTGGCAATCGACAATTACAGAAAGGATACGCGAGGAATCATCGCCTTTGGGTGACAGTACTTTTGAGTCCTTTACTGAAGTACCTTCTCATTCGGCAGCATCCACCTTGCCAATCTCTTTCGATAAAATGTTCAAGGACGAACGGCTATTCACGCTCTTTGAGACTTCCACGAGAAAGGAAGTATACACCTCCACTTTATCGAGCACGACTTCTTCTACGACGCCCAAGTCCTTTCTATTTTACGAGCCTGAACGAAAGTCTCTTCGCAAAGATGCCTCTCGGAAAAATTCCAAAGTTGACCTAACGGGTGTAAAACAAAATTCAAACGTTTCCTTTAAAGGTTCAAAGAACGAGTTGGAAGGAAATAAATCTCGATTGGACGGCAGCCAAACGAATCGTTCGTCTTCGTGGCCGCGGGACCAAATTCGTAGTTCCGTCGATCGACTTCACTTTGGTAAACAAGGGATTGCTTCCGTGACAAATTCCGAGGATAAAATCGAATCTTTCCAGAAGAAATATTTGACAAGTAGTAAAAATACCGGGTTTCGGCGGTCGGAATCGACGGGTGCCGCAAATGATACCGTCAGGCTGACACTTCCGCGTGATACCGATGTCTCACGAAATGCTTTATTAGATGGAATCGGTGTCATGAGAGAAAACAGGTCCGAGTGTTCAAAGTCGAAGAGGACCAGGCAGACAGGGATATCAGATCGGTGCGCCGAAACGAGAATGAAATTGCTTAACCGTTCTATGAGAGAAGGTCCTCCGGGAGATTGGATCGGGGAACATCGGGCAGCCACGCGGCGACTGTCGATCGATAAGAAACTGCAGGAATCGCGCAAAGTACCGGGCGGAACTGCAACGCCGGGAAAAGTCGTATTTCGGCGCGTCCGCGGCAAGATTAACCGCCCTCCTGACCCAAATCTCGTTAGCGGTAGAAGTGATTCGTTTAAGATCGAAGGGAACGTCGTCGGAAATGGCCCTCTGGCAAAACTTTCGACCAATGATGCTTTATCCACTGTCGACAGAGGATTAAGTTCGTTAAAAAGAGAAGATACCTCTATTCGATATTCGTCAACTTCATTAATGAACGATAATATTGGCATTTCTAGAACTGGCAAAGAAATCGTGGATGAACATATAAGGTCTGTCACGAAGAATCAATGAGATTAATTTTAAAAAATTTAGTATAAAATATTTAATTTAATGGGGGAGGGGAATTTACATTATTTATCAGGGTTGTCACAAATTCCTAATCCTAAAGTTCCATAACTTTTCACTTATTTCTTGACAAAATTTCATGATTTTTCCTGATACTTTCAATAATATTTTGAAATTTTTGTACCTACCTTCGTTTTGATTTGGGAACCGCGAAACATTTTGATGAGAGTAATTTAACATAACAATGTAAATTATTATTAATTTTATTGACATTACTTGCATTTAATTGTTAAGTTGGTAGTATTCCAAAACTAAGTAGATATGATGTTAAACTTTTTTAAGATAAAAGTTTTTAATTTTCCAAAAAATTTTACAAAACCTTTACTCCGATTTCTCTGAGCTTTTTTAATTTAATTTCCCTGGTATTTTCCTGATTTCTAGTTTTGTGGCTATTCTGTTTATATTTATTTTTCACCGTTTTATTAAAAATTTTATTGTGAAAATTTTTACACTGAGAAAAAAGTTGCTGTTTTAAAAAAATATTAATTGATTCAATTAAATGCGATGGTCACGAGCTGTCAAGCAAATATTTGTTAACTCAAACAAATAACATGTTTTAAATTACAAGATTTTGTTAATCTAAATATATAAATACTTGAACTATATAATCACTATGAATTAATCATTTAGTCAAGCTAACAATTTTTTTTCTCGGTATAAGTAAATTATTTCGAAGAAGACATTCAGTTATAGAGGAAAAATTTAACATTGTCCAAGAACTTTGAGTAATTAGCTTTATTATCTCTCCACATGACGGATCCCGTAATCTCACATTGTCTCGCAGCGTTTCGAACAAGAAACGAGATGTCAGCGAGCGTCACGATTTCTGGAAAGGTAATCGCGTACTTAGAAAACGCCAGAAAGCTTCAAGTCCGACAAGGAGGAAGACAAAGCAGTGGAGGAAAAAGAAGAGGAAGAAAGGCAGTCAGCGGACGAAAGTTATTTCGGAGACTGAAAACCAGCGGCGTTTCAAAAGACACTTATTAATGATGTCTCTTGAGCCGGAGTATGACGCCGATGATGCCACGGCAAGATTTTCGAGACGCTACGTCGCCACAGAGAAAAGGAACGCTGAGAACTTTCGGAAGTACGCGGGAAGCAACGTGAGACGGCGACGCGGACGCGACGGAAGTCGGACGGTCGATGGATCGGAAGCCGATCTCAGCATGGCTCAAATCCGCGGTGGTCAAGACTGCACGAATCGCCGACACCCACCGAATATCGATGCGGCCAAATATCTCGAATCCGCGCATTGTTTGCGCTTTAGTGATTTATGGTAGGTCGCCTATGGGGATTTAAAGGGATCATGGGCTGTGATTCATAACGCATATAACGCTGGTTTCATTGAGAAAAAGAATGTAATCGAATGCAAACTTTTTCTCGATGCTTATCAATCCCGAACGCGATAAAGTTATAGCGGTTATAACGGAAAATATAAAGAAAATGTGATAACATTCGAAAATATGAGAAAGAGATAAATGTAAATTGTAACAATAAATTGAGATAAAGGTCAGAGGAGAGAAAAAATAGAGAATGTATGATTTTTCATACATAAAAATCGTAAATAAAAAATATAAAATGTAATACACCGATATTATTTTTGTAAATTCATTGACTGCAAACAATACCATTATTTAATAAAAAATAGAAAACTTTTACTTCATTAGTTGCAATGGGTATGTATCTTTACCTGTCAATAAAGTTTATTAAAAACATTACGAGGCAGTCATGCATAAAATAGCGGTATGAACCAATGGTTTATTAAAACATTAAAATGACGGCCAATGGCTCTCGATCACTTATTTTCATTTTTACACACAATGTTATGCGCGGCAACAATTGCAGAGTACAGACGCAACAAAAACAAAGATGAGTGCTTTGTTTCGCGCTTCTGATGGTTCTGTAGTTGACATGACGTAAATTAATTAACAGATAATTGCTACGAAGATATTTTATAGTGTCTGTCACATATATTTCAAAAGTCTCTATAGCGAGGATTCCCAAAATGTGGGTCGCAAGCCGAGTTTTAGTGAGTCGCGAAAAATTTTAGAATGTTAAAGTACATTTCATTATATTAAAAGTACTGTTCTCTTTCACGACTTCATATATGTGTGAAATTGGCTTTTTAGCGATGATATAGGAATTAAAACCAAATTGCGAAATAAATTATAATTATCAAACGCATTGTGCTTGAAAATTACTCGTATCAATGTCGAGTTCGAATTAAGGCTGTTATTAATACATAAATATAGAAAACAAGCGCATTTTTCACGTACATCTCATACATCTGAAAAATATATTAATGTATTTTAATTATTAAATACATCTTTAAAGGTGTATTTAATAAAAAAGGAGAGCAGTAAAATTAAGTGTAAATAAATAATCAATTCCCAACTCCCCCTCCGTTTTTCCAAGCTAGGTGAGTCGTGGAATTTGCTATTCTAAAAAGTGGGTCGCGATTCACAAAAGTTTAAGAAACTCTGCTCTGTAGACTAAGATGGTACAATTTTAAACATGGTACAATTTTGAACAAAATAAAATTTGAATCCAATTTTCAAAGTTCAAATTTGGTAACTCTCATTGTGTGGAAAATATTGAAGAGTACCAAACAGGAAAAGAGATTAAACTTGAACTTCAACAATTAAATTCAAATCTTATTTCGTTCAGAATTATACCATTTTCAAAATTATGTCACCTTATTCCGTATTAAATCGACTATCATAATTTTCTATTTATCGATTATGAATTTATCATTCTATAAATCTTAAAACTGTCAAAATTCGATGAAAATAAACGTCAAAAAAATTCTTTAGGTATTCCGTGTATCAGTTGGAGGATCCCATCGTCGATCATGCGGTGTATCTTCAAGTTTACGAAAAACGCGTTTTAGCGAACGGATCGACTTACTGGAAAGATCTCACCGGAGATTCTGTAGTCAGGTGAGAGAGAGAGAGAGAGAGAGAGAGAGAGAGAGAGAGAGAGAGAGAGGGGGGAGAGGG